ACTTACTTCCTTTTTAAAATTAATAATATAATACTAATCAGTAAACTTATCCCTTATGAATGCTAATAATATCTTGTTAACTCACTTCTACATGGGGTGGCCGATAAAGAAAAAGAAGACATTGAAAAAATATTCGGAATTGATTTTGATGAGAAAGTTGTGAGAGTGGCTAGAACCTTAAATTTAATTGCTGGAGATGGCAACACTAATGTATTGCATTTGAATACTCTTGATTATGATAGATGGAATGAAAACTCAGAAAATGCAAAATGATCGGGCATCTATGGAGAAGGTTTTAAAAGGTTAAGAAAACTAAGAAAAAATTCCTCAAATAAAGAATTTTTGTTTGACATTCTAATGGCTAATCCGCCTTTTGCCGGAGATATTAAAGAGTCAAGGATTATCCATAAATATGAATTAGGTTATAAGCAAAAAAACAACAAAAAAGAACCAAAAAAACAAGTAGGAAGAGATATTTTATTCATTGAAAGAAATTTAGATTTTCTAAAACCGGGAGGGAGAATGGCCATAGTTTTGCCGCAAGGCAGATTCAATAACTCAACAGATGAGGAGATTCGTAAATTTATTGCTGCTAGAGCAAGAATTATTGCGGTCGTAGGTTTACATCCTAATACTTTTAAACCTCACACTGGAACTAAGACAAGCATCTTGTTTTTGCAGAAATGGAATGATAATCCCAAGACTGGGGAGTTATGCCCTAAATTAGAAGATTATCCGATTTTTTTCGCTGTATCCGAAAAAGGAGGGAAAGATAATTCCGGAAAATACATTTATGTGAAAGATGAATTGGGTAAGCCGAAAATAGACGGTAATGGACATTTAATTATTGATAATGACTTGTATAACCATGCTCTAAATGATAGTAATGATTCAAAAGAACTTCCAGATGGGGTTGCCGAAAAGTTTATAAAGTGGGTTAAAGAAAACAAATTAAGTTTTTGAAATTAATTATGCAGTTTTCAATTATAAATAAAAGTAACTTAGAAAGGACATTCAGAATAGATGCCGATTTCTATAAACCAGATGTAATTGAATTTTTAAGTTTGCTTAGTAAAAAGAACGCACAATCTTTAACTAATTATGTTAAAGTGAGTGATGGTAATCATTCAAAAATAACTGAATATTTGCAAGACTATCCAGGTGTTCCTTATTATAGAGGAAAAGATATAAATACTGACTTTTTCATTGAAAATGCCAGACCTGCCTATATATCAGAATCAAAATACAATCAAAAGCAGATGATTAGATCCCATTTTTTATCCGGAGATGTTCTGCTTTCGATAAAAGGAACTATTGGTAATTTGTCATTCATAACAGACATTTTAAAAAAAAGTACTGGGAGTCGTAGCATTGCTGCTTTAAGGCCTATATCAGAAATTTCGTCCGAGTATATAGCGGCATTTTTAAGGTCAAAATACGGTCAGGTTCAGTTAAAAAGAATAACCAGAGGCACGATTCAAATGGAGATTATTTTAGAAGACTTTGACCAAATACAATTATATCCTTGTTCTAACAAATTTAATCAGACGATTAAAGAAATAGTTCAATTATCTATTAAACTTAATGCTATAAGGAAGCAACAATAACGATATCATTGTTTATTCAGTGGGTGCTGCGTATGTAGGAAAGGCTAATTTATATAATACACCAATAAGAGCAATTTGTGGAAGTTCCTTAACACTTATGCGCCCAATAGAAAACTTAATAAATCCTTATTATTTGTTGGTGTTTCTCAACTCTTCAATTGGGAAATTATTAACAAGGAGAAGTTTAAGAGGGTCAGTGCAACAGTGCATTTACCCTTTTGATACAAAGAAAGTACCAATTCCCCTACTAGAGAAATCAATTCAAGAACAAATCGAAATTGCTATTCGTGAAGGAGAAGAGTCTTTTAACAAATCTTTAGAGTTATTAAAAATTGCTAAAAAGGCTGTAGAAATAGCGATAGAAGTGAATGAAGAAGCAGCGAATGATTTTGTTGATATAGAATTTAAAAAACTTCAATAAATAATAATGGATAATAATAAAAACAATTTAAAAAATTCAATAACGATTAAGAGGAGAAACAACTGGCCTGCTACCCTCTATGTCGAAGGTCAAGATCAATTCCGCGGCTGATTCAATTCCTCTTTAATTACTTCAGTTATCTTAACTAATCAAGCTCCTTATCAACAGGTTCTTTCGCACGGCTTTGTGGTCGATGAAAAAGGACACAAAATGTCGAAATCATTGGGAAACGTTATTGACCCCGAAGATATTACAGAACAATTTGGTGCTGACATTCTACGCTTATGAGTGATTAGTTGCGATTTCACTAAAGAAGTAAAGGTTAGCATTCCAATTTTGGAAAAAGTTCGAGAAAGTTATCAAAAAATCCGTAATACTTTGCGTTTTTTACTTGGCAATTTAGCCAATTTACCACCAGAAATAAAAAGTCAAAAAGATTTAGAAGAAAAATTGGATCTAGTGGATTATTATATTCTCCATAAATTAGAAAAATTAGTTGCTGAAAGCCAAAAAAACTATAACGAATACAATTTTAACCCTGTTTATTTTTCTTTATTAAACTTCTGAATTAATGATTTAAGTTCTTTCTACTTGGAAATTAGCAAGGATAGTTTATATTGTGACAGTCCCTATTCCCAACGAAGGAAGCAAATCATTACTACTCTTTATTACTTATTAGAAGGATTATTAAAAATCATTTCTCCAATTTTGCCTTTCCTGGCCGAAGAGGTTTATCAAAATGTTCCCTTTTATTTCGGCTTTGCAGGTCAAGAAAGTATTCAATTAGCAAATTACTCTCTCAATTTGCCTGTTTCGTCTGATACCAAAGAGAAATCAGAACTTATTTCCGATTTTTTTCTGCCACTCCGCCAAGAAATTTATCAAGCCTTAGAAAAGGTCCGTCAAGAAAAAGTCATTGATACTAATTCGCATGCTCATTTAACAATTTAT